TGCCCAGGGTCAGTATAGTTCTGGAGGAGGAAATCCAATGACCACGTGGAAGGCTGGGGCTTGAAGGAATTGACCACCCTCAGAGGTCAGACCCCAGAGAAGCATTGCTACAGGCTGCTGGGCAATGGCAGGGCCCCTCTGAGGAGGACACTAGGTAGCACTCTGCCCAGGCAGAGCCACGTGGGTCCCGTCCAGCTGGGGGAGGCCAGGGCTGCCCCTCCAAGACCAACTCAAACCTCATTGCATTTCCAGGAGGTGCCACTAGGGGCAGCCATGATGCCCAGGTGGAATAGTGCAAAGCTAGAAAGGCAAGAAATAACATGCCCGTGGAGATGGTTTACTTACGAGGTGCCCCTGTCATTTCTGGAAGTCTGAGCTGTCTGGTGGGAGACAGGAGCGGGGAACACCCCTCACCTCTCTGACCCACCAGCCTCACCTTCTAAGGATGCACCTCGGCCGCCATGGCCCTAGTGGTTGGGTGATGAGTGCGTGGCCCCTCTGGAGCCATTGGAGCAGGAGGGAGGGTAGCAGTCAGGGCACAGACCTGGACATCAGACACTCAACTCCAAGGTCTGCCCTGGGAAATCCCAGGAGGGTCAATCTCCTTTGGAGCCCCTCCAGCTCCTCTTCTACCCCCTCTTGCCCGACCATCAGCTTCCACCAAAGGTAGAGGCCCCCACACGTCCATCATGTTCCAGCCTTGGCTCAGTGTAAGAAAAGTAACTGACACACTAACATCTTCACGCCAGACAGCAGCTCTTCCTGCTGGGCCACCATCATCCACAGACTCCTTCTTAGCATCGCATCCTGGGAAAGCACCGCCAATCCACCAGAACTGGCTCACAGGCTGTCCTGTGGGGTCAGGATCCCTTAGAAGGATCATGTAAGAAATGCTGAAAGCCAGCGCCGTGGCTCACTAGGCTAATCCTCCGCCTTGCGGCACCGGCACACCGGGTTCTAGTCCCGGTCGGGGCGCCGGATTCTGTCCCGGTTGCCCCTCTTCCAGGCCAGCTCTCTGCTGTGGCCAGGGAGTGCAGTGGAGGATGGCCCAAGTGCTTGGGCCCTGCACCCACATGGGAGACTAGGAGAAGCACCTGGCTCCTGCCTTCGGATCAGCGCGGTGCGCCGGCCACGGCAGCCATTGGAGGGTGAACCAACGGCAAAGGAAGACCTTTCTCTCTGTCTCTCTCTCTCACTGTCCACTCTGCCTGTCAAAAAATTTAAAAAAATTTTAAAAAAATGCTGAAGCCACAATCAGGAGCCAAGAATGTTGAGCTGAATTTATGGAAAAATTCCAGGTATAAAAAAAAAAAACCACCAAGGTGCTTCCTTTGGGAGGTGATAGAGAGATGAGCGTGTCTATAAAGCACCTGTAAGTGCACCACTAGTTGGTTCTGCCCGGGTCCCGCAGCAAGTCGGATCAGCTCAACTCTCCAGACGTGGAGGCCAGTCCCGTGCCTGGCCTCCTAGGTGAGGGGCTGGTCCCTTCCAGGGGCTCATGTGCAAATAACCACAGTACTAGGCAGAGTAAGAGTGGTGTCTTCTAAGGAAACGCTGTGTGGTTTCAGCCTCTGGCCTGGTGATTGAAACATCAGTAAAGATGCCATCCTTCCACATCGGGCTGCCCAGGTTCAATCCCCACCCCAGCTCCAATCCTAACACCAGGTTCCTGCTGAAGCAGACCCTGACTGCTCATGCGGTCCAGTCCCTGCCACCCACATAGGAGAATTGGATTGAGATCCTGACTCAGGACTTCCAGCTTCCACTCCAGCCCCTTGGAGGACATTTGGGGAATGAGCCAGCAGACAGGTGCATTCTCTCTATCTCTCTCTCTATCTCTGCCTCTCAAATAAAAATTAAAAATTTTTAAATATTTATTTGAAAGGCAGAATTACATAGAGAAGGAGAAACAGAGAGAAAGAGATCTCCCAACCACTGGTTCATTCCTCAAATGGCTGCAACATCCAGGACTGGGCCAAGACAAAGCCAGGAGTCAGGGCTGGTGCTGTGGTAAAGCAGGTAAAGCTGCTGCCTACAGTGCCAGCAACTCATATGGACACTGGTTTGAGTCCCGGCTGCTCCACTTCCAATCCAGCTCTCTGCTATGGCCTCGGAAAGCAGTAGAAGATGGCCCAAGTCCTTGGGACTCTGCACTCACATGGGAGACCTGGAAGAAGCTCCTGGCTCCTGGCTTCAGATCGGCGCAGCTCTGGCCGTGCAGCCAAGTGGGGAGTGAACCAGCGGATGGAAGACCTCTCTCTCTCTTTCACTCTTTCTCTGCCTCTCCTCTTTGTGTGTAACTGTGACTTTCAAGTAAAATAAATAAATCTTAAAAAAAAAAAAAAGCAGGAGCCTGGAACCCCATCTTGTTCTCCCACATAGTGGCCCATGTACTTGGCCCCTCATCTGTTGCTTTCCCAGATACATTAGCAGGGAGCTGGATCAGAAATGGAGCAGCTGGGATTCGAACAAGTGCTGATACGGGATGCCAGCTTCTCAGGCAGCTACTTAATCTGTTCCACAATGCCGGCCACAAACAATTTTTTTTTTTTTTTTGACAGGCAGAGTGGATAGTGTGAGAGAGAGAGACAGAGAGAAAGGTCTTCCTTTGCCGTTGGTTCACCCTCCAATGGCCGCTGCTGCCAGTGCGCTGCGGCCGGCGCATTGTGCTAATCCGAAGCCAGGAGCCAGGTGCTTCCTCCTGGTCTCCCATGGGGTGCAGGGCCCAAGCACTTGGGCCATCCTCCACTGCACTCCCTGGCCACAGCAGAGAGCTGGCCTGGAAGAGGGGCAACCAGGACAGAATCCGGCGCCCCAACCGGGACTAGAACCCGGTGTGCCGGCGCTGCAAGGCGGAGGATTAGCCTAGTGAGCCGCGGCGCCGGCCCACAAACAATTTTTAAAAGAAAAAAAGAAACACTGTGGCCAGGGTAGCTTAAGTGGGGAGGGAAGTGGCCAGCCTGGCGGGGGGTGGGGGTCATCCGGAAAAGCTTCCTGGAGAATGTGATGCAGGGGAGGACCTGGAAGGAGGCCAGGGTGGACAGGGGAGGGCAAGGGCCCAGCTTTGGGGCACTGCTTGAGCAAAGACATGGAAGCTGGAAAGCCAAGGCTAACCCAGGGCAAGGACTCAACCAGGGATGGAAGCCACAAGCAGCGGACCAAAGGCAGGTAGTGGAATTGGGGTCAAAAGGTGGGGAAGCTTGAATGCTGGGAAAAAGGTTTGTCCTAGACAGCCACTGGAGCTGGGCAGCTTTCCACAACCCCCTTCCCAATTTCCTGTAAACACGTTCTTCCACCTCTCTGAGTCTTTGCCTATGCTGTTCCCACCTCCAGAAATGCCCTTCCCTCCCTCTCTGCCCAGCAGGCTCCTAAGCATCCCTCAAGTTCCAACACAAAGTTCACTCCTATGCGCCTGTGGCTCCCGATTCTTTCCTTCTGTCTGAGTGTTCTGCTCTGCTGCTTGTCTCCAGCAGGGTCTGTAGCCCCTAGGGGCCTGAGACTGTCTCACACTACTCTGTGCTCCTGCTACCCTGCATGGGTGGACGTTGCCAGTTAACGCAGAAGGAAAGGAGAGAGGCAGCGAGGGCGGGAAGCAGTTCTACTCTGGCCTCACCTGACCTGACGTGTCCCGGCTCAAACCCTCAGTCACTCCGGGCAAGGAGAACCCAGGCTCCCATGCACTGCCTCCACTGTGGGGCCTCCTCATTCTAGGTGCTCCTCTCTCTTCGCCCTGGGAGCTGTAGGCTGGGCGGGGCTCAAGGTCCCGCCAGGTGAGCCCCCCATGCCCACCTCAGAAAGTCACCCTCGAGCTGTGGTCCTGGACAGCAATGGGGTCAAGTGGAGGGCCTGAGGGGGGATCAGCACTGGAGGAGAAACTGAGGCAGGGTGGAGGAACTTGACTCAGCACCCAGGGGAAGGGCTGAGTGGTCCAGGTAGCCTCCTAGGATCCAAGGTCCAGTGACCCCCAGTAGAGGCCCAGCCTCCAACCTCCCAGCTCTTTGGATTTCATTCAGCCCCTGGGCTGTGTCCCCCTCTCATTCTGTCCCAGGAGTCTCGTCTCCACCACACAGAAGGGGCTGCAAGGGCACCAGTGGGAAGCAACAGAATGTGAGCCCCGCCTCCCAGCCCACACACTTGTGCCTGGCCACGCCTCTGGCTTCCACACTCCAGCTTTCCCTGGGAACCTCTCCTCTCAAGGTTGAAGATAGGCCCTGGGGCAGCGGTGGGTGGAGATTGGACCTCAGCCTCTCGGGGAAGTGAAAGGGTTAACTCTCCCCAAGGTCCACTGAGCCAGTCTAGCCAGCTCAGCCCAGGGCGCAGTAAGTCCAGGCTTGTCCTGTCCTGGTGCTCGCTCAATGTCAATTTCCCCTTACCCTCTCCTTCCACCTCCTTCTGGGAGACACAGAAGGGAAGCTAGGGGCCTCTGGCACCAGCTATCTCTGGGGTGTCATTTAATAGGGCCAGTAATGATCGCGTCCTGGTTTATTAACTCTTTCCCTCATGGCTAAGCTTGTCATCCCTAAGCTCTAGCTCTCTCTGGCTCGCTCTCTCTCTCTCTCTCTCTCTCTGTCTCTCAACAAACAGGAACAAGGCAGATGCTCAATTAGTTGCCCAGCCTCAAGCCAGGGAAGAAGTGTTGCACCAGGCCTCAGTGTGACACCTGGCACCTGCCCCCTCCCTGGAGCCAGGCAAAGTCCAGAGACATCCACCTGACTGTCAGGGCAGGCAAGCAGACGATGAATAGATAACAGACACACTTTGGACTCCCGGCAGCCCGAGAGCAGCCAGAGCGCCGCACCGGGGATCCCTGAGACCCCCGCATACCCTGCCCGGGAATGGTCTAAGACGTGGTGGGTGGGGGAGGGGACAGCGGGCCACCCGCTGCCGGAAGAAAGGGAGGTGGGCGCTTGTCCCGAGTCACTTGACCAGCATCCTCGAGGCGGCGCCTAGCCTCTCATTTATCCCTCTGGACTCTGGCGCCTCCAGGGGGTCTACGCGGCCCCAGTCCCTGCTCCCGGCCGAGGCGTAGGTCCGGGTGCGAAGAATAGCAGAGGCCGCTGCGAGGGGAGCGGAGGCCGCTGCGAGGGGAGCGGAGGCGGTGGTTGCGCCTTAAACGGGATGCCCCTATCCCCCAGCCCCGCTGACGCCCGCTCCACGCCACCCGTGAGAGGCCCCAGGTGAGGGGCGGGGCCGCCGGCCGCCCCGCCCCTCCCTCCGCCTGTCTCTCCCCGCCCGGCCCGGTGCTGCCCGGGTCCCGCGGGCCGCTCGGTTCTAGTCCCAGGCTGGGCAGTGGAACCGGCATCGCTGGGGCTGCGGCCGGCGACGGGGAACCCCGTGGCGGGGGCTGGAGCGCGTGTAGGGGGCAACGGGACACCTGCGGATACCGGTGAGCGGCGGCGCCGGGGCTGCGCTGCCGGGGGGGCGGGGCGGCGGGGGAACCAGGGGCCTGGGAACTGGGGCCCCGGGCGGAGGCCAGGCCTCCCGAGGGAGGGAGGAGTTGAGGAGTGGGCCATAGCTAAGACGCGGCCGGAGTAGAGAGGACCGGGAGGGAGACAGAGCCCTCAGGGGGCTCACTAGGAGGGCGGAGAAGGGGCCCACCTGGGCGCTGCTGTCAACCCACCTCCGCTCTCCAGGCCCTGCCTACTCAGAGGGAGGGTCCTCCGTCCAGGCGTAGGGGAAGGAGGGAGCCCAGCCTCGGCCACCCGCAGCTCCGTGTGATGTTTGGGAGACAAGGCTGGTCTCTAAGGCCCCCTACATCACTTCCCCCCCAGGAGGAGCCAGGTAAGGGGTGGGGGCAAACCTACAGGGTCTCTGTCACAAGCGGCAGGAGCACAGTGAGAGGCAATTAGGAAAGGAGGAAGGGTGGTTGTGTTTCAATGTTAAAAACTGCACTTAGGACCCTTGAATTTGAACTTCATACCGTTTTCCATTTTCCTGGAATGTTATTTTTCTTTTGCTTTTGTTCGATGATTTAAACATGAGAAAACCAAGCTTAGCTTGCAGGCTGTACAGAAAGGGGTGGCAGCCACCCGCACCCAATCTCTGGCCTCCCTGCCACTTTTCCTGGGCCATGTAAGGGACGCTGGGGTCTCTGTAGGTGCAAGGGAACGCCCCCCCCAACCTTGGGTATCTGGAAAGCCGGGGACCTGCCTGTGACCCTACTCCCAGCTGCCCCAGGACTCCAGCATCCTTTGCCGCCATGGCAGGAGATTGTACCCCCAACTGTGCATGCACCTGAGGAAGGGTCATATCTCCAAGGGGCTGGTGGGGCTGTACTCACCCCACCCTGTCCCCAAGTCATAGGTGACACTGCCATGCAGACCCCCAGCCAGCAAACGAGCCCTGCATCCGCCCTACACCCTCTCCCTCCCCGCACTCCCCACCGATCCAGGCTGGCCCTTGCATTCCTTTCTTTCTTCTCCTGCAGTCTCAGGAGACCCCTTTCTCCAGAGCCTGGGAGCCATGACCCTTTGGAGGTGACCCAGGAGGGCGGGATGCAGACCTGCAGTCCTCCGGATGAGGGGCCCCTGCGCGGACTGGTGGCGTCCCGCATTGAGACCTACGGGGGCCGGCTTCGGGCTGCTGCCCAGAGCCCCAGTGGCGGCCTTCATCGAGGAGGCGTCGTGCTGGTGAGTGCAGGCAGTGTCCTGTAGGTGACCTGGGTGGGGCAGGAGGGAGGACACCAGGCTGTGGAGTGGCTGTCCTGTCGCACACTCACCGGCTGCCCTATTCCTGTCCCTTCCCCTATTCTTTCCTGGGTTGCGAGGGCAGCACCTGGGTCAGGCTCCCAGGGCTTCACACCCCAGTTCCAGGCAGCTGGGGCGGGAGAGGCAGAGAGCCAAGAGGAGCCAGCCACAGGGGAGGTGCTGTCAGACAGGTCCCAGGCACGGAGTGGTCACCAAACCCCAGAGGTGGCACCTGCCCGCCTCCCCTCTCTACTTGGGCGGAGTCTGCGGGTTGCCCGCACCTGCCTCCCTCTGAGTCAGGGCAGCGAAGACCAAAGGTTCAGGGTGTCCCTACTGTTCAGCTTGGGGGGGGGGTCCCTGGCTGCACCTGCTCCAGCTCCTCCTGCCTGGCGGCTCAGCCTCCTAGTTCCAGGCTTCCCCTCCACCTCCGGAAGAGTTCTGCTTCCAGCTTGGGGTATGCCCTGCTGGCTGGATGGGGATTTGCCCCTCAGAGACGGGGACTGTCCCAGGCTGCGGGCAGAAGGGACAGTAGGAAGTCCGCAGGGGTAATTCAGGCCACAAGCAGATCAAGGAATGTGACCAGGCCTGCCCGGGAGGACATGCACGTCTGTGGCTTCCACCTCTCACACGGAAGAACAGCCGCTCCCAGCTCGGCCCCACACAGGCTTCTGGCTCCCAAGGAGCAGGCCACACATGTGTGAGCCTTGGTCCTCGTGTGTGAGGCAGGCTGGTCACAGAGCAGGGCAGCCACGAAGGACCCAGGATGTGGCGTGTACCTGTGCACGCAGGACCAGTGGGCAGACCCCAGGGGTATGCACAGCCAAGCCCAGGCATGTGTGTGCCTGCACGCCTGCGGGGGAGGAGGCCCTCGATCCTGCCCCCAGGCCCTTGTGGGGAGCCAAGTAGGCATGCCCCTGCCCAGCTCAGCTTGGCCTCCCTAGCACAGCCGCTGTGACTCAGGGCAGGAGCTGCCCACACCCAGCGGGTTAGAGGGGAGAGGTGAGCCAGCCAACTGGCAGAGTGGGGGATGACGCCTCAAGCCAGGCCTGGCCCTCCCAGCTTCTCTGGTCCTTCTGGGAGGAGGGAGGCACCCCCAGAACTCACCCTGCCCCTCCCCCAGGATCCCGGTCTCCGACACCTCCAGCACTATATCCCCTTCACCAAGACTTCCGGCCTGAGCCTATCTCCCCTGAGGTTGCGAGAACCTGAGCCCCAGAAGAGATATGGAGACCATCTGGGAGCTGGCCCTCCTCTCTCCCCCAGACTCAAGGTAAGGGGTCCCTCTCCTCCCACTCCTGTGTCACAGCCCCTGCTGGGATGGCCCCTGCAGCCACTCAGTCCCAGCGAGGCCTCAGGGGATGAGCACACAGGCCAACGAGGTTTGACCCCGCCGTGCCTCCAAGGGCTTGGGGACCCGCTGATGGACGCGTCCACACTTGGTCCACACTTTGGGCACAGTGACTGTGACCCCAGATACTGTGATAAAATGATAGGATAATTATTAATATATTTTAATAAATTTTCAGCTGTTTCTTTGAGAGACAGAATGAGAGAATTCCTATGCACTGGTTTGCTCCCCAAATGCCTGCAAGGGTTGGGGCTGGGTGTGGGTGGAAGCCAGGAGACAGGAACTCAATCCAGGTCTTCTACATGGGTTACAGGAACCCAGCTACTTGAGGGTCTGCCTTTGCAGGAAGCTGGAGTCAGGAGCTGGGAGTGAAACACGGGCAGTCCGATGTGACACAGAGGCATCTTAAGCAGTGTCTTACGTGCTAGGCTAAATGTCCACCCCCTAAACTATTCACATTAAACTCTCAGCTTCTGGAAATGATGGTGTAATGTGAGAGCTCCATATGCTCCTTCCACCCGTGCCCAAGTCTCACATCACCTCCACCCCAGTGGGAGCCTCACCTCTGTGGTTCTGAGCCATGTTGGGGATGGAGTGAGGGTCAGGAAGATGCCTTGTCCACAGTGCTTGGGGCCTCCCCAAAACTTGTCGGTTGTAAGCTGTGCTGCTTCAAAGAGAGCATCATTCGGCATGGGCAGATGGCAGAATGCTGCCCGAGGGGCGGGCATTGTAGTACAGCAGGGTAAATTACTGCATCTGCTTAAGCCATCTGCATTGCTGTCAGAGAGGTGGTACAAGTCTGGCTGCTCCACTTCTGATCCAGCTTCCTGCTAATGCACCTGGGAAGTGGCAGATGATGCTCAAGTTCTTGGGCCCCTGCCACCCACGTGGGAGACCCAGATGGCTCAGCCCTGGCTATTTTGGCCATTTTGGGAACAAACTAATGGATGGAAAATCTCCTTATTTCTCTCACTCTCACTCACTCTCTGTCAGTCTGCCTTTCAAAAAAACAAGTACTTTTTTAAAAAAGATTTATTTATTTGAAATTCAGAGTTACACAGAGAGAGAAGGAGAAGCAGAGAGAGAGAGAGAGGTCTTCCATCCGCGGGTTCACTCCCCAACAGGCTGCAACGGCTGGAGCTATGCTGATCCAGAGCCAGGAGCTTCTTCCGTGTCTCCCACGCGGGTGTAGGGGCCCAAGGTCTTGGGCTTATGTTCTACTGCTTTCCCATGGCATAACAGAGAGCTGGTTCAGAAGAGGAGCAGCTGGGACTAGAACCTGAGCCCATATGGGATGCCGGCACTGCAGGCGGCAGCTTTACCTGCTACGCCACAGCGCCAGCCCCACAAGCACATCTTTTTTAAGACTGTTGCCTGAGACTCGTGGTTTCCCTAAGTCCTGTTCTGGTCTCTACCTGAAGCTCCCTCTGAAGGGTTTCATTCTGTCCCTGGTCAGGGAGCCCAGATCAGAGCTCTCTGCTCAGGGATCTTGGTGTGGATGCCTCTCTAACCCTACTCCAGCACTGCCTTTTTCCCTGTAATTCCAACCAAGCCAATCCTGGTGCCCCACACCCACCTTGTCCCCAGTCACGCTTGCGGCTCGCCACCACGTACCTGACACACACACAGCCCTCTGGGAGCCAGGGGCGCTGGTGCCCAGCAGGTGGCAGGACTGAGCCCCATCTCCTCTCGCCCAGGAAGTCACTCAGGCCCACGAGCTGGAGGTGAGGCTGCACACGTTCAGCATGTTTGGGATGCCCCGCCTGCCCCCTGAGGACCGGCGGCACTGGGAGATAGGAGAGGGCGGCGACAGTGGCCTGGCCATAGAGAAGTCCTGGAGGGAGCTGGTGCCTGGGCATAAGGTAGGCCTGCGACAGCGTCTGACCCCATGGCCCTACAGACCTGCACACACCCCTCACCTCTGCCCTGGAGGAGGGGGCGCCTGGAGAAGTGGGTTCTCCTGGAAAAAGCATTCAGAGACACCCTGATCTAAGTCCACACCCCAGCTCTGCCACTTCCCAGTGGCAGTGAGCCACTGAGTTCTGAGCCTCAGTCATCCCATATGTAAAATGGGAGGAACACCACCTTCACGCTGGCCAGTTGGTTTGAGGATGAGAAGCCCAGGTACAGAGTGCCCAGGACCTGTGAAGTAGATCCAGAGGCACTGAACAAATGGCACCTGCCATTCTTACCATTCTTAACCTGAACCAGCACTGTCCCCACCTCAGGAGATGAGCCGAGAGCTTTGCCACCAGCAGGAAGCACTGTGGGAGCTGCTGACCACCGAGCTGATCTACGTGAGGAAGCTCAAGATCATGACAGATGTGAGCCTCCCCCTGCTACCCCCGTTCTCCCAGGCCAGGAGGCCACCCGGGGAGGGAGGGGCAGGACACCAAAAATGTGCCCAGTTTCAGAGCTGTGTGGGTCTGGGGAGACAGGTAGGCAGCACTCATGTTGGTGGAAGACTTGGGGGTGACCCGGAAGGGCTAGGCAGGGGTCCCGAGAACAGGGAGGGCAGGCTCTGAGACCCTCATCTCTCTCCCTGCATCCAGCTCCTGGCCGCCGGACTGTTGAACTTGCAACGAGTGGGGCTGCTGACGGAAGTGAGTGGGAGCTCCGCGGGGAGCCTGGGCAAGGGAGTAGGGGTCGGAGAACCCTCCAGGTTGCCCAGCCTGACTTCTCATCCCTCCATTGTCTGAGACACCCCTGCCTTTCCTACTCTAGACCCCCAGGCAGGTGGCAAGCCCCCCAGTTTCCCAGGACTCAGCCCGCTGAGGCTGCCGTGCCGCCGAGGAGGAAGGGAATGCCGTCCTTGGGACACTCCTTGGCCTGTTCCTCCCCACACCTCTGCCCAAAGCCTGGGCCCTTGTGTGTGCATGGCCAGCGCTGCCCGGCAGTGACCTGCCAAAGCCACGCTGCAACTTCCTGCTCCCCCCAGGTATCGGTGGAGACCCTGTTTGGAAATGTCCCCAGCCTGATCCGAGCCCACCGCAGCTTTTGGGAGGAGGTGCTGGGGCCCACCCTAGAGGAGACGCGTGCCTCGGGCCGACCCCTGAACCCCGTCAGCCTGCAAAGTGGCTTCCTGACAGTGAGTCTTGGGGAAGGACCATGCCAGATGGGGCAGGACTGGGAGAGACCCGAGGGGTCTGTCTGCAGGGTGTGCCTATGGGACTCAGACCCCTTAGGGCACAGCTCCTACCCCAAAACACCAGCTCACCTCCCGCCTGGCATTCTGCAACTTGGCTGGCTGTCGCAAGGCTTCCCTGGTCTTCTGGAAGCCATTATGAGATGCAAATGCAGCCATCCACGAGCAGAGTTCTGCCTCAACACCCCTCAACCACAAAATCTGAATTCTTGGACACACAATTAGGGACAAGCAGAGAGCCCAAGGGAGTGACCCTCATGATGCCTGAGAGTGGGGATCACTGGCTACAGGAGCACCTAGGACTTGGAGAAGAGGAGCACAGAGAGTGGAGGTTAAGAGACAGCAGAGGGCCTGGGGTCCAACTTCCTCCCTGGTTCTACCCAGCCTGGAAAGCGTGGGCCCTGCAGGAAGTTGTGGCTGTTGGGTGCAGAGGGAGTTCCAGTTCCCCTGGACCATGGCACCTCCTCCCACAGGAGTGGGGTTTCTGGGCAGCCCTCAGGTCACTCCTGCCCCTCCCCGGGGTGAAATGGGACCTATGGTGTCCTGCAAATGATCCGGCTGAATTATTGATGGTGGGAGAGTCGGTCCTGGGCTGCAGGGCACAGCAGACACTGTGACGGACAGAGCTCAGGGAGCAGCAGTGGGTCTGCCTGTCTCAACCTCAGGCTCCTGCTTGGAATCCACAGACAGAGACCTGGTGTGAGAGTGAGCGGGGAGTGGGGGGTGGGGATGGGCAGGAGCTGGAACAAGGGCCCAGGGGGGCTCTCACATCCAGCTGCCATGCCCCACAGCCAGAGCCTGTGACCATGCCCTTCCCTTGTCCGCTCCCACCCCATCTCCCCCTCCAGTTTGGCCAGCGGTTCCAGCCCTATGTCCGTTACTGCCTGCGAGTGAAGCAGACCATGGCTTACGCCCGGGAGCAGCAAGACACTAACCCTCTCTTCCATGCCTTTGTGCAGGTGGGAGAGGGGCACCAGGGGAAGGGGCAGGGGTGCAATTATATGGCCAGGTCTTCCCCAGTCTCCAGTGGGGGTCCGAGGCTGAGTTTACCCCACCAGGGTGAAGCAGGAGGGAGCCTGCAGACTCCTGAGCCCCGCCCCCTCTCGCCCAGCAGTGGTGTGAAAAGCACAAGAACTCAGGGAGGCAGATGCTGGGGGACTTGCTCATCAAACCTCACCAGCGCATCACCAAGTACCCCCTGCTGCTCCAGGCTGTGCTGAAGAGGAGCCCCGAAGCTCAAACCCAGGAGGCCCTGGGTGCCATGGTAGGTGCCCAGCAGGGTTGGGACCCCGGGAAGCTGGAGGCTATGGAATGGAACCTGATCTCCGGGGATTCTTGAGGGCTTCTTGCATCACGTGGCATTGACCCACCCCACCTGATGTGGCACGCTGCCGTGTCATCGGCTGGGTGGGAGGTATGAGGTTGGGAGCTGAACTGTACCCCCTTCTGCACCTGCTCCGAGATTGCAGCTGTGGAGTCTTTCTTGCGACACATCAACGGGCAGGTCCGCCAGGGTGAGGAGCAGGAGAGCTTGCTGGCTGTGGCCCAGCGCATTGGGCCCTACGAGGTGCTGGAGCCATCCAGTGACGAGGTGGAGAAGGTGAGAGAGGGCAGAAGGGCGGTCCCCACAATGCAGATGAAGGAGAGGCTGGAGGGGAAGGGGCAGAGGTCAGGGCACTCTAAACTTGAGTGCCACCAATGAGATATGCCATCCTTCTTTCCCAGTGGTGAGGGCCCAAGGGGCAGGGTTCAAGAGTAAAAAGGAATTCAGAAGAAATGGGTAGATGCCTGGACACATGCAGTCTACCAACATTGAGCCATGAAGACATAGAAAACCTAAACAAACCAATAACCAAGATAGAGACTGAATCAGTAATAAAGTCCTTCCCAATAAAGCAAAGCCTGGGAGTGATTAGCTTCACTGTTGAATCCTACCAGATATTTAAAGAACTAATTCCAATTCTTCTCAAGCTATTCAAAATGATTGAAAGGGAGGGAATCCTCCCAAACTCCCTCTATGAGGTCAGCATCACCTTAATTCCAAAACCAGAAAAAGAACAAAGAGAATTATACACCAATAGATCTATGAACATAGGTGCAAAAATCCTCAACAAAATACTAGCTAATCAAATCCAACAACACGTCAGAAAGATCATCCACCCAGACCAAGTAGGATTTATACCTGGTATGCAGGGATGGTTCAACATATGCAAATCATAAATGTGATACATCACATTAACAAACTGAAGAATAAAACCCATATGATTATCTCAATAGATGCAGAGAAAGCATTTGATAAAATACAACATCCTTTCATGATAAAAACTTTAAGCAAATTAGGTATAGAAGGAACATTCCTTTTTTAAAAAAAAAAAAAGATATATTTATTTGAAAGTCAGAGTTACACAGAGAGAGGAGAGCCAGAGAGACAGAGTGGTCTTCCATCCAATGGTTCACTCCCCAAATGGCTGCAACGGCCAGAGCTGAACCAATCCAAAGCCAGGAACCAGGAGCTTCTTCTAGGTTTACCACAGGGGTGCAGGGCTTCAAGGAGTTGGGCCATCTTCTACTGCTTTCCCAGGCCATAGCAGAGAGATAAATGGGAAGTGGAGCAGCCAGGTCTCGAACCAGCGCCCATATGGGATGCTGGTGCTTCAGGCCAGGGTGCTAACCCACTGCACCACAGTGCTGGCCCTGGAACATTCCCTAACACGAGGCAATTAATGACAAATCCAGAGCCAACATTATATTGAATGGAGAAAAGTTGGAAGTATTTCCACTAAGATCCAGAACCAGACAATGTTGCCAACTCTCATTGTTGCTATTTAATATAGTTCTGGAAGTTTTAGCCAGAATCATTAGGCAAGAAAAAGGAATCAAAGGGATACAAATTGGAAAGGAGGAAGTCAAATTATCCTTGTTTGCAGATGATATGATCCTACATATAGGGAAGCCAAAAAACTCTATGAGGACTATTGGAACTTATAAGAGAGTTTGGTAAAGTTGCCTTTGTATACACATACAATGCCATGGCTGAGAAAGAACTAATAAGATCAGTCCCATTCATAGTAGCTACAAAAAATTTAAATACCTTGTAAGAAACTTATCCAAAAATGTGAAAGATCTCTATATTGAAAATTACAAAACGTTAAAGAAAGAAATAGAAGAAGACAAAAAGAAAAGAAAAAATCTTCCATTATCATGGATTGGAAGAATTGATATAATCAAAATATCCATACTACCCAATGTAATTTACAGATTCAGTGTGATCCCCATCTAAATACCAATGGTATCCTTCTCAGAGCTAGAAAAATGAAGCTAAAATTCATATGGCTCCACAAGAGTCCCCAAATAGCTAGAAAAATCTTAAACAACAAAAATGAAGTCAGAGGCATCATAATACCAGATTTTAAGACACACTACAGGGCAGTTATAATCAAAACAGTCTGGTACTGGCACAAAAATAGACATGTGGACCAATAGAACAGAATAGAAACCCCAGAAGTTAATCTACACATCTACAACCTACTTATCTTTATGAGCTAAAATCAATTCCCATAGAAAGGATAGTTTCTCCAACAAATGGTTCCAGGGAAATTGGATCTTCACATGCAGAAGTATGAACCAAGACCCCTACCTTACATGTTATACTAAAATCAACTCTAAATGGATCAAGGATCTAAATCTACCACCTGATACCATCAAATTACTAGAGGAAAACATAGGGGAAACCTGCGAGACATTGGCATAGGCAAAGACTTCTTGGAAAAGACCCCAGAAGCACAGACAACCAAAGCACAAATAGCAAATGAGAATACATCAAGATAAGAAGCTTCTGCACTGCAGAGGAAACACTCAGCAAAGTTAAGAGGCAACTGACAGAATGGGAGAAAATATTTGCAGACTATGCAACTGATAAAGGATTAACTTCCATAATCTATAAAGAGCTCAGAAAACTCAACAACAGCAAAACAAACAATCCAGTCAAGAAAGGGCAAAGGACATGAGCATTTTTCAAAGGATGAAATTCAGATGGCCAACAGACACATGAAAAAATGCTCAGGATCTCCAGCCAACAGGGAAATGCAAATCAAAACCACAATGAGATTTCACATCACCCTAGTTAGAATGGCTATAATCCAAAAATCAATACATGCTGGCGAGGATGTGCAGGAAAGGTACCCTAATACACTCTTGGTGGGAATGTAAAATAGTACAACCATTATGGAAAACAGTATGGGGATTCCCCAGAAATCTGAAAATAGACCTACCATATGCCCCAGCTGTCCCACTCTTGTGAACTTACCCAAAGGAAATGAAATCAGCATATGAAAGAGTTATCTGTACCCCCATGTTTATTGCAGCTCAATTCACAATAGCTAAGCTATGGAATCAACCCAGATATCCATCAACTGAAGACTGGATAAAGAAAATGTGGTATATGTACACCATAGAATACTACTCAGCTGTTAAAATATAATGAAATCTGTATTTTGCAACAATATGGATGAAATTGGAAACCATTATCCTTAGTGAAATAAGCCAGTCCCCAAAAGACAAATAACACATGTTTTCCCTGATCTGTAGTAACTAACAGAGTACTCAAAATGTGAGTATAGGAGTGAAGTTAACATTTTTATATTGGATTATTGCTTACAGCCCTTGTCTATGCTCTTGAAGATCAGTAGTTTTTCTTCTTACTACTTATTGAATTCTTAGTGGAGGATTAAGCTTGTGATTATGAAAGAAACTGAAAGTATGCCATTGTAAAAAAAGAAAAGGAGGAGGAGGGAGGGTGGGAACATGGGCAGGAGGGAGGTGGGGTGGGAAGTATCATTATGCTCTTTAATCTGTATATATGAAATGCGTGAAATTTGTTCACCTTGTTTAAATAATTTTTTTGAAAAAGGTAAAAAGAAGGCACTGGGATGCTCCCTGCAGCTCCAAGTGCAATGTGGGACAGTGGGGGAGGGAAGGATAAGATGCTGGTGGCAGAACAACGGAGCCACCCTTGGCTGGGATGCAGAGGAAGCCCGCCCGTGCCCTGATCCCCTTCCCTCTGTGGCCCTCAGAGCCTTCGTCCATTCTCGACCCTGGACTTGACATCCCCCATACAGGGGGTAGGACCTGAGCACACCAGGCAGCTGCTGCTTGAGGGACCAGTGCGTGTGAAGGAAGGCCGAGAAGGCAAGGTGAGGGGCACGGTGGGGGCAGGGTGGGGAGAGAGAGGTGGTCCCAGCTAAACTCTTGCTGTTTGCATGGGCCTGAGCTAGCCACTTCCCCTGCCTATAAAGCAGAGATGAGACCACACCGACACTAGCATCCTACGCTCTGCACCCGGCCCTTACATACATGCATGCGTTCTGGTCCCAGGCCAGCCCTTCGCTTCCCTTCCCTCCAGCCGACCCTGCCTCTTTTTCCTACGCAGCTGGATGTGTACCTGTTCCTCTTCTCCGATACACTCCTGGTGACCAAGCCTCAGCGCAAAGCAGACAAAGCCAAGGTCATCCGCCCTCCACTCATGCTGGAGAAGCTTGTGTGCCGGCCACTGCGAGACCCCAGTATGTCTGTCCTGGGTGGGGGGAACCTCTTCCTTCTGCCTTCCTCTTGGTGAGGAGTAGGAGGGAGCTCAGGCCCGGGGCTCAGATAAGGCCCTGCCCTTGAAGCAAACCTTCTGGTTCCCCAGGCAGCTTCTTGGCCATCCACCTCACAGAATTCCAGTGTGTCTCTAATGCCCTCATTGTGCACTGCGCCTGTCCAACAACTCGTGCCCGATGGCTGCAGAAGATCCAGCAGGCCCAGGTATAGGGAAGCCAGGCGTGGCAGGGGTGGGCTGCGGCCCCTGGGTCTCGGAGAAGGGAGAGCTCAGGGGAAGAGGAGGTGACAGAGGTGTAGGTGGATGCAGGTCAGATTGGACCAGCAGTCCCTGAAGTGTGCCCTCCAGAGGGAGACCGGGCCTTGACCATCTGTAGAGGGGTGTAGAAAAGCCTGTGGCCATCTCCCATGTTAGCCACTGGGAAGGCCAATGCATGGTATCCTGAAAGTCTGCATTCCCTGGACTAATAACTTCCAGGCTTCATTTTCCACTCCCAGACATTCCTGGGTACAGGCACTGGTGCAAGGGGGCCAGGGAATCAGACAAGAAGAAAATGTCATTCCTGCCTTCCAGGACTATGCACTGTGACCTGGTTAGAGTGATTAGTATGCAAATAATAGAAGCAAGCATCCAGAGTGGACCTGGGACAGGGCGGGGAGTGATGCATCGTCTCTGGGGAAGAGGACAGAACGGGAGGAGGGCAGGCTGAGGAGGTGGTGTCTGGACACTGCGGGCAGGGTGGGGGTGGATTCCAAACGTGCGGCAGCCAGGAACCTGAAACGTGCTGTGTGGTGAGCGGCAGGAGTGGCTAGGACAAGGGCAGACTCTGCCACGTGGGTGCCATCTCCGGGCGCCGTGCTAAGGAGCTTGAACTTTGTCCTGTACATGACATGGAGACAGTAAAGCTGTTGAGCAGAGACCCAAGGGTGATAAAAGCAGGAGGAGATCAAAAGAGGAGAGATCCAGACAGAGCTGGACTCCATCCTGCCACAAACTTGGTGGCTCTAATACAACAGAAACTTATTGTCGAAGTTTTGGAGGTCGCAAGTTCAAAACCAAGGTGTGGCCAGAGCCCAGCTTCCTCCCAAGGTTCTTCCAGCCTCTGGTGGCTCCAGGCCTCCCTTGGCTTGCGGGGGCGTCACTCCCAGCTCTGGCTCCGTCTTCCTGCAGGCTTCCTGTCTATATGTCTCTGTGCAAATCTCCCTCTGATTTTTCTTATGAAGACACAGTCATTAGATTTGGAGTCCTCTGTAAATCCAGAAAAAATCTCATCTTGAGATCCTTAATTTAGGATCTGTGCACATCTGCAGAGACCCTTTTCCCAAATAAGGTTGAATTCACAGGTTTAGGGGGTTAGGACTTAGACATATTTGGGGAAGCCATGATTCCATCCAGTGCAAAAAACTGAATGGTCAAAAAAGAGTGAAGATTTGAGTTGGACTTTTTTTTTAAAAAAAATGTGATAGTCTTGTTTACAATCTATTTTTTATTTATTTGAAAGACAGAGTGATAGAAAGAAAGAGATCTTCCATCTACTGTTTCACTCCCCCAAATGTCTGCGACAGCCAGGAGCGTGGAACTCCACCTGTCCCTGCCCCTGCCCCCAACACCCACCCTGAGGAGCACTGTGACACTGAGGTGGTAGGAGAGAGCGGTGGGGGAGACGTCCCAGGGGCTTTTGGAAATAGGAAACAGGCCTGGAGTTCCGGTGAGAATTAAGGATGACAGATGGAGACCAGGGTCTGCTGGGCTGCCACTTCCTCAGGTACCCGGAGGAGGCAGCAGCAGACTCCAGGAAGCCACATGTTGGGGGCAGGAGAGGGAGAGGCACATGGCCCTCCGGTTGAAGGTAGCCTCCGTGTGCCTGCTGAGCCCACTCCCACAATCCCCACCGTCTGCATGGCTGGGGTCTCCTCTCAGCCAGCTTCTCCTGGAGTGAAACGCTCTCCTCCAGGCTGCACTGCCTGGCTGCGGCTGCGGGAGAGCCAGAGGGCAAAACCGGAGCCAGCGTCAGCATTCAGAGAGCCGCTGCATCCCGGGACAGCAGGCGGGGCAGGAGGCCACTTCCAGAATTTTTTTTTTTTTTTTTTTTTTGACAGGCAGAGTGGACAGAGAGAGACAGAGAGAAAGGTCTTCCTTTGCCATTGGTTCACCCTCCAGTGGCTGCTGCGGCCAGCGCACTGCGGCCGGCGCACCGCGCTGATCCGATGGCAGGAGCCAGGTACTTATCCTGGTCTCCCATGGGGTGCAGGGCCCAAGCACTTGGGGCATCCTCCACTGCACTCCCTGGCCACAGCAGAGAGCTGGCCTCACTTCCAGAATTTTTTCCCCTTCCCTTAGTGCCCAGTCACCTGACACCCTCCACCCTCCCCAACCATGCCATCCTCCACTTTCTCGCTTTAGAACCCCAGGGGCCACTAAGAATTGCTGGTATTTTATAAGCAAAATAGTGCAGCCCCTACCCTACCCCAGGCTCCCTCCAGGCTGGTAGAAGGAAAGTCACTTCCAATACACATCCACACTGGACACCAAGGCTCCTGCCTCCCTTAGCCAAACAAACAAGCCTGGAACTCTGAGATTCGTCTTCCTGCTATTGTCTCACAGCAGATTCCTAGGGAATCCTTGCTGCCGCCGCCGCCTTAGTGTTGAGGATGTCTTTGCTCTGTTTCCGAGAACTCTCCCCAGGGCTCAGACTGGTGTTTTTTCCCTCCCCTGGCGGAAATGTCCATGCAGATTTATTCCTAGTGGGTCTGGAGCCCAGCCAAGGTGGCTTGTGCTTGGAGGAGAAACAAGCTTTCAATCCCGGAGAGACCGAGGCGTGGGGAATGCCCACGTTGCGGGGCTGGGAAGAGGGGAAGGATGAAAGGAAGGCGACCGGAAGCACTGTGGGAGAGGAGACCGAAAGCTGGGCTGACTGCAGAGCGCCAGGGCAAGAGGCAGGGCTGCAGGGCCGGGGGCCCGCCTCGCCCCCACCTGTGTTCTTGGCTGAGCTCCCTCACTGCTCTCAGCCTGGCCTGGTCTGGGGGACTCCAGTGACAATGGGAGCCGCCACGCGGAATAGATGGGAGAACTCAGTTCATCAGGGGCCTGGCCCACAGCCACCTTGCCTTTTTTTTTTTTTTTAAAGATTTTTATTTAGTTATTTGAAAGGTAGAGTTACAGACAGTGAGAGGGAGAGTCAGAGAGAAAGGTCTTCCATCCGCTGGTTCACTCCCCAAATGGCTGCAATGGCCAGAGCTACGCCGATCCGAAGCCAGGAGCCAGGAGCTTTTTCCAGGTCTCCCACGTGGGTGCAGGGGCCCAAGGACTTGGGCCATCTTCTACTGCTTTCCCAGGCCACAGCAGAGAGGTGGATCAGAAGAGGAGCAGCCAGGACTAGAACCGGCACCCATATGGGATGCCAGCGCCACAGGCGGAGGATTAACCTACTGCGCTACGGTGCTGGTCCCTAAACATTCTATTTTATTTATTTCTTTGAAAGGCAGAAAGAGAAAGAGAGACAGAGTTCTCCCATCTGCTGGTTCACCCTCAAATGCCATCAGCAGTAGGGCTCAGTCAGGCCCACGCTAGGAGCCTGAGACTCAATCCAGGTCTTGCACGTGGGTGGCAGGGACCCATCACCCGCTCCCTCCCAGGAAACCCATTCGCAGGAAGTTGGAATCAGGAGCTGAAGGGAGGTGGGACTCCAGTATGGGATGCAAGCAGTGTCTCGCAGTGGCTGGTGGCGCCTGGGCTGGGGAACGCACCAGCATCTGTAGCTCGGAAGTGGCTGATCACTTGCGGTGCAGTGTTGGCGCTCCGGGAGGGGAGCAGGTGAGCCCGGCAGCACCTCCGGGCAGCAGAGGCAGGAGGCGTAAACTGCCCGCTGGCACAGAGGGAGAAGAGCCCCCAGCTTGGCAAGGGTGTCGCGTGCTGGTTCAAGCACCCGTTTCCTCTTTCTCCCTCCCTGACTCCCTCCCCATGAGTCTCCTCTTACCCAGGCTGAGAAGCGGCCCCCGCCCCCTCCCCAGGACTGGTGGAGAGGCTGTGGGGAGCAGTCGCCTCCCCTGATGCTCAAGGTTCCCCCAAGGAGGAGGACATGGGCCGGCTGCGTGGAGAGGCTGGCACTGGGCGCTCCTAGCAGAAACCCCCTTTTCCTGTCAGTTCTTTCCTCCCACACAACACCCCTCTACTGGGCAGCCCAAACATAAACTTGAACTTGAATCATGCACGGCAGAAGGGCACCTCAGCAAGACAAGCAAGCCACCCTGCTCTGCCGTCCTCTCTGGCGCCCCACACCGAGCCAGGATCCCATCCCCTTCCCTGGCCCAGAGCCCGAGTCCCAGGAGACTGTGCAGTTCATCCTGCTGCGTCACTCTGGGCTGAGTGACTGCACAGAGGAGACATCAGCCCGATGTCCCAGTGCCATCCTTGCTCTGCACCCCCGTGTGCCTCTGCCCTAACACGGTCCTCAGTGTCTCCGGAGAGGCTCTGGGGAACTCCAAGTGCTAGACTTGGAGTCGCTGACTTCTAGAAGCTGAGAGATATTAAAGATATTTACCATCTAGTGCAGCAGGGGCACCAGCCAAGGAGAACAGAGTGTCCCGGGCCCTGGGCTGTGCCCAGGTTAACCCTTTACTCGCCTGGGCATGGTGGGGGTCCCTGGGGACCCAGGCAGCAGCATTTCCTTTCCAGCACGGAAAGACTTCAATATTCTAACAATGATAGGGCCGCCCCCGCGAGCACTGAGCAGTGCAGCCCACAGCCGCTGGCGCCGGGCTGCTGCCTGGGACCTCTCCCCCGGTTCCACCGCCTTCCCTCCACTCCCCAGGCTGACGTCCTCTTTACCCTTGAAGGCTGCCCTTGGAGAGCAGAGCACTCACTGAACTAGAAGTCCACTTGTGGGCCCCCCCAACTCGGCTTCCATTTGCCTGTAGGACTGGGAGACGGTCACTTCATCTCTCCAAGTCTAGTTTTCTCATCTGCAAAATGAGCTAATAGCCATGCCCCCCCCCCCACTCTGCAGACAAAGGGCCTTGTATCTGCTTTGTAAACCACTTCTCAGTGTCACTATTTGGCTCTGATGGCACCTGCTGAAAGGTTGAGGGAAGTGGTAGGTGTTTGGCATAGCAGCTCAGACAGACTTGGGATGCCCGCATCCCATATCAAAGTGTCCGGTTCGAGTCCTGCCTCTGCTTCTGATTCCAGCTTCCTGCTGTTACGCACCATGGGAGGCAGCAGGTGATGGCCCCAGTACTTGGTCCACGTCACCTGTGTAGGAGATAGGGATTGAGTTCTCAGCTCCTGGCTACTACAGCTTTCTCTCTCTCTCTCTCTCTCTCTCTCTCTCTCTTTCTTTCTCTCTCTGCCTTTCAAATAAATAAAAATATTTTTTAAAATGTTGGGGCTGGCATCATGGCCCGGTGGATGATGGTGGAGCCAGCGACACTGGCCTCCAGTGTCAGAGCACTGTCTCAAGTCCCAGCTGCTCCACGTCCCATCCAGCTCCCTGCTGATGCGGCTGGGAAGGGAGCAGAAGATGGTCCACGTGCTCAGGCCCCTGCACCCGTGTGGGAGACCCGGATGGAGTTCCTGGCTCCTGGCTTCAGCCTGCCCCAGCCCTGGCTGTTGTGGCCATTTGGAGAATGAACCAGCAGATGGAAGTGTCCTCTCCCTCTCCTCCCTCTCCCTCTCTCTCTCTCCCTCTCTCCATCCCCATCACTCTGCCTTTCAAAAAAAAAAAAATCTTTTAAAATGTTGAGGGACGGGCCGGCGCCGCGGCTCACTAGGCTAATCCTCCGCCTAGCGGCGCCAGCACACCGGGTTCTAGTCCCGGTTGGGGCGCCGGATTCTGTCCCGGTTGCCCCTCTTCCAGGCCGGCTTTCTGCTGTGGCCAGGGAGTGCAGTGGAGGATGGCCCAGGTGCTTGGGCCCTGCACCCCATGGGAGACCAGGAAAAGCACCTGGCTCCTGGCTCCTGCCATCGGATCAGCGCGGTGCGCCGGCCGCAGCGCGCCGGCCGCGGCGGCCATTGGAGGGTGAACCAATGGCAAAGGAAGACCTTTCTCTCTGTCTCTCTCTCACTGTCCACTCTGCCTGTCAAAAAAAATAAATAAAAAAAAAATAAAATAAAATGTTGAGGGACGAAGACAGTGTGTGTCCTCTCCTCAGAGCACAGTCTCCCTTTTAACCCTCTGAGGGACAGCAGAGTCCACAACCCAGGACAAAGCCTGCCCGGTGTCAGGGCAGAAGCCTGGAACCCCAGAGAGGGACGGGCCTAGTACCATTCAGAGCTCTCAGACCACCATCACTACCAATCAGGGAGGGCTTCCTGGAGGAGGGGGCAGACATGCTAGAGGACTTGCCAAGGAGGCATGAGAGGCAGGAAGACCTGTACAGGTAGGAAAACAGGCACCCCGCTCTTCTCGCTCACCCCCACCAGAGAGTTTGGTGCCACCAAATATTAGCACACCCCACTGTACGTACCCCTTCTGCAGCTACTTAACCTAAGAGTCTCTGTTTCTCGGGAGTAAACTGGAGGTGACACTGTCTCCTCGCAGGATTGTGAGGAAGACTAAGCAAGGTCATGTGTGGAGTGCCTGGCAGGCACCAAGCGATCAATACGTAAGGAAAGCGTTCCTCCCTCCCCAGGCCAGCCTACAGAAGCTGAAGGCAGAGGAGTACGTGCAGCAGAAGAGGGAGCTCCTGGCCCTCTACCGGGACGGGGACCAGGACACCAGGCCCTCCACGCCGTCCCTGGAGGGCTCTCAGAGCAGTGCAGAGGGAAGGTAGGAGCCACGTGGGCACCCCGAGGCAGGGGGGTGGGAGGAGGAACCCCACAGGCAGAGGGTGGCACACAGCATGGGGGGCACGGAGGGGGTAGAGGAACACGGACAGCAGGCTGGCCCCCGCTGTAAGAAGGGGTGCTTGCTGCCATGTATAAGTCAGCCAGCCTGGGGCTGGCACAGGGTAGAGGATGCCAGAGCGTGGCCCATAGAGCTCTGGGACAGATGAGGGTGCAGGCTCCAGGATGAAGGCAGGTGTGGGTTTGCAGACATCGGAGATGCTAGGACCCAGCCAAGTCCAGAGACCCAGAACATGAGGGGTTCATCCAGGGTAAGACAGGGCCCCTCACCATGGGATAAGCTCAGGAGAGCACAGGGCCACTGGGCAAATACCACCTACTTGGTACAAGGCCTTGGACCGGTGCTTATGGATAAAGCTGCTGAGAAGCCTGTCTGAGCTTACAGTTGACCCAGGGTGAGCACAGAGCAGGTGGATGTGTTAAAGGAGTAAGTGGAGGAGAGGCCGGCGCCGCAGCTCACTAGGCTAATCCTCCGCCTTGCGGGGCCGGCACACGGGGTTCTAGTCCCGGTTGGGGCGCCGGATTCTGTCTCGGTTGCCCCTCTTCCAGGCCAGTTCTCTGCTGTGGCCAGGGAGTGCAGTGGAGGATGGCCCAAGTGCTTGGGCCCTGCACCCCATGGGAGACCAGGAGAAGCACCTGGCTCCTGCCTTCGGATCAGTGCAGTGCGCCGGCCACAGCACGCCAGCCGCGGCGGCCATTGGAGGGTGAACCAACGGCAAAGGAAGACCTTTCTTTCTGTCTCTCTCTCTCTCACTGTCCACTCTGCCTGTCAAAAAAAATAAATAAATAAAATAAGTGGAGGAGAGCTCGCAGCTGGATGCCGTGCTCAACGGAGACCTCCTGGGCTTGCACTTGGCTCCTGAGCATGCGACCCTGACCACCTGCTGTTCCCTGCAGGACCTCTGAGTTCTCAGCCGTCATCCCCCAGCTGGTGGTGACGGAAGACACGGATGAGGATGCCCCCTCCGTTCCCGACGATGCCTCGGACTCAGGCTACGGCACTTTGATCCCAAGCTCCCCCAAGGGACCCCACTCTCCACTCAACCGCCTGCGCTCCAGGGCCTTCCGGCGAGACCCCCGCCTCACCTTCTCCACCCTGGAACTCAGAGATGTTCCCCTGCGGCCCCAGCCGCCTGACCCCAAAGCTGCTCAACGCCGAAGCGCCCCCGAGCTGCCGGAAGACATCCAAACAGGAGTCAGCCATCCGGGGACGGACCCGCGCCCCTGGTCGCAGGAGGAAGATGGGGTCTCGGTGGGCGAGAACGTGGTGGCGGAAACCCTGCACAGGGCCCGGCTTCGTGGCCAGCTCTGCCCCTCCCCTCCCCACACGGACTCGGCCGGGGAAAGCCCCTGGGAGTCCTCTGCCGACGAGGAAGAAGAGGGGCCTCCGTTCTCTGGGCCAGCCCGCAGGCCGTGCGTCCGGCCGCTCAGCGCTGAGGACATGCTCCGACAGATCCGGGAGGAACTGGCCACGCAAAGGATCGAGGGAGCTACAGAGCCCGGGGACGGCAAGCCTCGGAAGCTGACCCGCGCCCAGCTGCAGAGGATGCGGGGTCCGCAAGTCATACAGTTGGACACGCCCTTGTCCACTTCGTAAGTGCTGAAGGGGAGCTGGCGGGGGGGCGGGGGGCAGGCGGGGGGCGGGGCCTCTTCCACACCCCTGGACCCTCGCCTACTGGCCACCTCCTTTCTTTTCAGAGAGGTGTGAGCATCGGGGAGGAAGGCTCTCCCGGAGAGTGCTGGTCACCCCTGCCCCCACACTACCTCAAGGACCACACTTCCCGGCACCTGCCTTCTGCTGCGAGGACTCTGGCCATCTGGCCATCAGGAACTGTAGATTTATGTACCATAGACACCCCTGCGCCCCCCATAAAGTTGTGCATAAAAACGGCTGCTTGGGTGGCATTGCTTGAGCCTGGGAAGATGGGGGTGTGTGTGGGGGGGTGCTGTCACCGCGCGACTGGTGGGCCCTCTGGCCCCGGGTTGGGACTTTCCCCACCCCACCCCTCAGGGTGCAGATGCCCACAGAGACAGACCATCCCCGTGGGAGTGGAGCTTTAATTTCTGGGTTTTAGTGAATTTACAAAAGCCTGCCGCTCCGGCTGGAGGGCTCACTGTTCTGCCCTTGGCCCCTGCCCCAGGACGCGTCCGGGCAAGGGGCAGAGGGGCGCCAGGGTTCTATTAGTGTGACACAACTGATATAAACATGCTTATCTGCTGCGAGAGAGGTCCCCGGACCTACCAGGGGCCGGAGCAGCTCTGCTGGGCCCTCCACGTCCTGTAGTCCACAACCACCCACTCGGGCCCCGGGCACGCTCAGCCTCGGGAGCACTCAAGCGGGCACAGCTGGGCGGTGCTCCGGCAGTTGAGTTTGAAACGCTGTGTGTGTGCACGGAACGGGTAGCACCAAGTAAGTGGCTGCTAGTTCACGCCTGCCCCTCCAGGATCCGCTCCAGAAGAAAAGGCCCAGAGGGCATCTCCCAGGGTAGGCTCCTCCTCCGAGGCGGGGACGGGGACCAGGAGGAGGGACACACAGCGCCTCCGACGGCCTCCAGGCAGCCAGGGGCGTGGCTCCACCGGGTGAGGCGGAGCGAAGGGGGAGGCGGGGCCACGCCTCGCCTCCTCGAAGTCCTCCTGGCAGCCGGGGGCGTGGCTCCATCAGGCAAGGCGGAGCGACAGGAGGGGGAAGCGGGCCATGCCGCGCCTCCTCGACGTCCTCCAGGCAGCCGAGGCGTGGCCTCACAGAGCGGGGCACTCAGCGTCCTTCGGAGAGGGCGTGGCCTCAGGGCGGGGCACGCAGCGCCCCCCAGAGGGGCGTGGCCTCACCGCGGAAGGCGGGCCTCCGAGGGCTGGGAGGCGGGGCCGCCCAGCACCGCCTCGATGTCCTCCAGGCAGCCGAGCAGGTCCATGTCGCGGAGCACGCTGCCCAGCAGGTCCAGCGTGGCTTCGTGGCGCGGCGTGCGCTGCCGCCAGGCCGCCAGCATGCTGTACTGGGCCTCGCGCAGGCAGCGCCCGTTCTGCAGCTCCAGCCGCTCTATCTCGTGCTCGCGGAGCCCCAGGCGCCGCACAAACTCCCGCCAGCGAGATGGGGGCACGCCGTCCACCACGGCATACAGCGTCACGGGGTCGGCTGTGGGGACGCGGGGCGTTGAGCCTTCTGCGGCCGCCCTCCACCCGGCCCTGCTGCCTCCCGGAGCCGCGCCCGACCCCGCGAGGAACTCACTGTCGGGGCGCTGCTGCGGGGCCACCGCCGCGGGGGCGCTGCAGTCCTCCCACTTCTGAAGCGGGGTGAGGATGGGTGTGGAGGCCAGGGCCGTGGTGTGGACGGGCTCAGCCTCCCGGTAGGCCAGGGCCACCCCTCTGGAGGGCGGCATAGCCCTGAAGCTGGGCCAGTCCTCACGGGGAAAGGTGGAAGTGGAGTTGGTACAGATGCCCAGGTCGGGGCTGAAGCCGGGGATGGGGCTGAAGCCTGGAGGCGGGCAGACTCCTGGGGCAGGGGCGAGGGGTTTGGCAGGAAGACCTTCAAGCTCCCCCTGAAAGAGAGTGGGCACAGCGTTAGTGGGGGAGGGGAAGGCAGCCTCAGCCCTCATTCTGGTTGGGGGTTGGGGCTGGAGGGAATTAGGGGAGCCCCCGAGTGGGAGCAAGGGTGATCCCAGGTGATCGGGGTGTTACAATGATAAGGAGCAGTCAGGGAAATTTGGGGGGCAGGTCTCTGGTTTCATCTCACCTCTTTGACAGGTGTCGCTTTCCCACAAACTGAGAAAAAAGAAACAGAGTATAAATTTCACTTCCCCTCTTCTCAGGCCTGGCGCCCCGTCCTGGGGTTGGCAGTGGGGACTTGTGGTGACATGCCTCACGGCTTATGTGGCCCCAGGGACAAGAGAACTAGCGACAGAGCGTGACCTCCCCCTAGCCACTCAGGGCCCCCCTCCACCCACAGAGTCCTGGGCAGTGAGATGGGGGACCCTCCTCCTCGCACCCCCCACGCTTGCGTGTCTGAGCCACCCAGCCTCCTCCCACAGGCTCCCCAGCGCCCTGTCCCCTGCCAAGGGCCCCCTCACCAATGGAGTAGAACTTGGGCTTCCACCGCCGCTGGTAGTGGCACATTAAAACAGTGAAGAGCAGGGAGAGCAGGCACAGACCAAAGAAGATCACCAGGGGCAGCAGCACTGTGGCGCCTGCAGAGCGAAGTTCATGGTCAGGGGATGGGTGGGGGGATGGGTGGGTGGGGGAGGGGCAAGGACTGTAGAGGGCAGCTGGGCGAGGGCGCTCCTCCTCACCTGAGTCCTGAGAGCCCTGGACGTTCCCGGTCGGGGGCAGGCACAGTTTCATGCACACTGGGTTCTCCTTACAACTGAAAGAGGAGACGGCGATGGTGAACAGAGGCCCTGCCACTGGAGAACACACACACACAGATACACAGCACGGACACACGCAAAACAGATACACAAAACACACAGAGATACACAAGCAAAACACAGACACAGAGATACACAGCACGGACACACGCAAAACACAGCTACACAAAACACACAGAGATACACAAACAAAACACACACACACACACAACACGGACACACGCAAAACACAGATACACAAAACACACAGAGATACACAAACAAAACACAGACAGAGGTACACAGCACGGACACACGCAAAACACAATACACAAAACAGTCACAGAGATACACAAAACACAGACACAGATACCCCAAACACAGACACACAGAGATACGCACAGATACACACACAAAACACACACATACACAAAATACAGCGATACACAGACACACAGATACACAGCACAGACACAGGCAAAACACAGAGACACAAAACAGACAGATACACAAACAAAAACACGGACACACAGATACACAGCAGACACACACAAAACACATACTCAAAACACACAGACACAGAGATACACAAACAAAACACAGACACACAGGTATACACGCCGATACACAAAACACACACATATACAAAACACTGAGATACACAGACACACAGAGATACACACACAGGACACACCGAATCACATAAATCACACAAACTAAAAACAAAGAGACACACAGACACACATAGAGATTGTATCTTTGCCTCACAAACATCTTTGCTATCTCTTGATATAATGAGGCTTAACCTGTCCTGGGAACTGATGCCAAAGAAACCGTCACAGAAGATGATACATTTTAGAATCGGAAGGGATCGTCAGAGGGGCGGGCACCGAACAGCAAGTTAGGCCTTCACTTGGGACACCGCATCTTGTGTCAGATGCTTGGACTGAGTCCTCGTCTCCACTTCCCATCCAGCTTCCTTTTAAGTGCGCCGGGGAGGCAGTGAAGGTAGCCTACGTGTCTGGGTTCCTGCCACCCACGTGGGAACATGGGAGACCCGGATGGAATTCCTGGCTTTGGCCTGGCCCAGTCCTGGCTGTTGTGGGCATTTAGGGAGCGAACCAGTGGATGGAAGAGTGTCTCTGTCTCTCCTTCTGTCACTTTGCCTTTCAAATAAATCAATCTTAAAAATAAAAGACTCTATAGAAAAATGTTAAACATGGTCAGGGTACGAATTCCAACCCATCCCTGGCTGGCAGTCTGGACTCTCAACAAGCCGTGTACGAGTTCCAACACCATCCCTAGCTGGCAGTGTGGACTCTCAACAAGCCGCATCTCCTCCGAGCCCAGCTTCCACATCAGTACAAAGGGCAGCGAACCCGACCCTCGGGACTGAGGACCGAGACTGGCACAGTCCGTGTCCCAGAATTGGTCGCTGTCACTCAAGTTGTTATTGTACCGCTGTTTTGCTGATGAGAACGTGGCAAAGGATGGCGCTAGCTACAGGACCTGACCTGACCTGTGTGAACATTAAGCCTATGTGTGCGCCTCTGTAGGACCAGCTTGTCTCCTGTTGGGACTGCCACTGGCAGTGTGGCCTGCCGAGCGCTCCACGGGAGCAGGGGCACGCCCTGAGAAGGTGTGCTCACAGCAGAAATCTGAAAGCAGGGAAAGCCATACAAGTCCTTTCAACAGCAGCTGAAGCTTAGTGGAAAAAATAGAAAAACAGCTTTGTGTCAGACATTCTGTAGTATTTTTGTTATTCTCACAAGAGTTAAAAAAAATTTTTTTACTTGAAAGGCAAAGCAACAGAGAAGGAGAGAGAGAAAGAGAACTTTCCATCCACTGGTTTGCTACCCAGATGGCTGCGACAGTCTGGGCTGGGCCAGGCTGAAACCAGGAGCTGGGAACTCCATCCAGGCCTCCCTCGTGGGTGGCAGGGACCCAAGTACTTGGGTCACCTCTGCTTTTCCCGGGCAGGGGGTTAGAAAGGAAGTGAAGCGGCCAGGACTTGAACCCTGTGCTCTAACATGGGATGCCAGAGTCAAAGGCGGAGCTTAGCCCACTGCACCACCACACTGGCCGTGGCTCTCACGGCTTTGTCAAACGGCGTCACTATCCTTACATGAAAGGTGAGGAGTTGTGTGTGACTAGCAACTAAGACACCAGTAAAATGCCTGAATCCCATGTTGAAATGTCTGGATTTGACTTCTGGCTCTCGAGTCCAGCTTCAGCTAATGTCCACCATGGGAGGTAGTAGTAGTCACTGAAGTATTTGGGTCCCTGCCACCGATGTGACAGATCTGGAGTGAGTTCCTGGCTCCTGGCTTCCAGCCCAGTCCCACCATTGCTGCAGGCATTTGAGGCCTGAACCAGTAGACGGGAACATGTTCTGTGTGTGTGTGTGTCTCTCTCTACCACTCAAATAAGTAAATAAATTGCTTTTTAGAAATATAAGAAAAATGAGGCTGCACTGTGGTATAGCAGGTTAAGCCTCTGCTGGAGACAATAGCATCTGGTTTGAGACCTGGCTGCTCCACTTCCAATCCAGCT